GGGATACTCATTTACCCCTTGTAGAATTTTCCTACAGCAACAGTTATCACACGAGCATAAAGGCTGCTCCATTCGAGACCCTCTATGGCCGAAAGTGCAGATCCCCTCTGTGTTGGGCTGAGGTGGGTGATACCCAGTTAGCTAAAGGACGAGTTCCTGAAAGCACTCTCATAGGTCCGGAGATCATTCGGGAAACGACAGAGAAGATCGTTCAGATTCGTGAACGATTGAAAGCCTCTAGAGACCGACAGAAAAGCTACGCTGATAAACGAAGGAAACCGTTGGAATTCCAGGTGGGCGACCGTGTTCTATTAAAGGTCTCACCCTGGAAGGGCTTGATACGCTTTGGAAAGCGTGGAAAGCTAAATCCAAGGTACATAGGGACTTTCGAGATTCTTGCCAGAATCGGCCCTGTAGCTTACAAACTTAACTTACCCCCCGCGAGCTCAGTAACGTACATTCTACTTTCCACGTCTCGAACTTGAAAAAGTGTCTGTCCGACGAGACTCTTGTAATCCCACTCGATGAAATCGAGATCAACGAGAGCCTCAACTTCGTGGAAGAACCTGTAGAGATCATGGACCGAGAGGTCAAGCAAACGAAACAAAGCCGTATCCCGATAGTGAAGGTTCGCTGGAACGCCAAGCGATGACCTGAATTCACTTGGGAACGAGAGGATCAGATGAAACTGAAATATCCTCGTCTTTTTAATTTAGTTATTTGTAACTACTTATTTGCTTAAATTCTAATTTCGGGACGAAATTCCTTCTAACGGGGGGATGATGTGACAATGGTGCCCTAATCTCTTCCTAAGGCTTAAACATGAAGTAGGAATGCTTCTTGTGATCTTTAAGGCTTCAAAACACAAAATGGTCAAAGAAACATGAGTTTACGGCCGTAAACTCATGGGTTTACGACCGTAAACTCAATGAGTTATGGTCACAAAACCGTAAACTCCAATAAAGGGTTCCCTTGAACCCTAAACTCAATAGCAATGTCCTACAACACTTAGATGCAATCCTTAGGACTTATAGCACTTAAATAAGGTGTTTTACATGTCCTAGGATGTCTTAACTTTGTTAATTAGTTGTTTAAAGACTAATTGGATACATATATGTGATATTATATGTTAACTAGGATCATCGTGTGTGTACAAGTCTTCACTTGACACCTAGCATCCTATACATTCCGTTCATCCAAACCACTCACTACAGGTGAGTTACCCCTTAATTAACCTTTTAAATGTTTTTAAATGCTTTTAGGGAGGATACAAGTTGAACTATTATAGTTATTATATCAATCACATGTGATTAATGACTACCAAAGAAGTGGATTTCTTACTTTTCAAACTGTGTTATCAAACTGTTTTACTTCAAACTGTTTTACAAACTGTTTTACATATCAAATACTTTTATTAAACTCTTTTAACTTATATTCTGTGTATCTATATGGATATAATTATATATAGGATTGAAAGGACTTAGGACTGATAGCTCACCTTACTTCCCGTTCCTTGTTTGGTTGTGGACTTAGGGTATTCGGGTTATTTGTCTGAAGGTCGTTTGAATCCTAGTTATATATCATGTATATGTGTATAGATATAAAAGGTTACTTCTTTCATTCAGTTCAATGCATTTGGGTAGCAAAGGTATACAAACATGTTCATATACACAAACAACATTACTAGTAAACTATAATAGGTATAGTTTAGGAAGATACTATTACTAGAACAATGAAACATACAATGAGTCAGTTCATTCATGAGTAATACATAGTGATGAGAAACAACATAATACATAGTGATGAGAAACAAACATAATACATAGTGATGAGAAACAAACATAATACATAGTGATGAGAAACAAACATAATACACAGTTATGAGAAACAAAACATACAGGCTAGACAGAGAAAGAACACACAATACAGCTAGCACATACATATACATATACATATACATTACTTACAGTTATGTGAGCCACGTAACGGGGGCATGGCACTACCTGTCATGACCCGTTTTGTATCCAGAATCTCCTTAAGTGGAGAGCGTATGAGTTTGTGTATAGATCTATACTGGATTGACTATCCTACACCTTGTTGCTCGCTACAGTGGGACTTGCAAGTCTACGGGTGCCAAACGTCATTTCTTACGACGTCTTACATCGTCGTTTTTCTATAGAGTCGGTAGCAGGATACAGGCCGATCACATGGTACTTTAAATAACAATTGGTTTAAAGTAATTAGTACAGCAGTAGTTACTTAATACAACACTACAGTACTATATCATTTTCCCTTTACATTTACTTTGTGATATTCACACAATAAACAATAATGTAGAAACTATATTTTTGGTTAATGATAGTCAGATTTGGGAAAATACATACTCTTACAAGAGACACACACACACACAGACACTAGATGTCTTGGTAGAAGGCTACTTTTAGTAGGAAACATAGGGTTTTCTAGGAGAGTTCAAACAATTACAAACTTTTACAAAACTTATACATTACAGACTTACAAACACTTTCATACAAACACAGACATTAATATACTTATGATCTCACCAGATTTAAAGCTGATAAACTCTTTCAAAATAACTAGTATTCTTAGGTCACCAGTAGACAGGTACCGGTGCCAGGTTTTGAGAAGATGGAGCTCGTTCAAGACTCATCTTTTATTTTGATGTATAATTTTGATGTCTATATAACTTGACAGAACACACTTGTATTAAATTATATTATTAATGCAATGGATGATGTTGTTGCTTGTTTACTACTTTGCATTGTTGTGATACTGTACATGACGTCCTCCACCCCCGAACGTTTCCGCCGTTCCGGTTTTGGGGTGTGACAGTATAAAAGTAGATAATCAAGACTTTTCTGTTTGAAATATAAATGTTGAAATCAAACCGTAAACTAACTCAAAAAATTAAGACTTTATCATAGATTTCCCTATAATAATCTCCATACTTAATAAAAACATCCCTTAAACGCCACATGTCACCATTTTACACCATCTTCTTGCCACGTGTCATTACCACACCTCTATTAAATCTGCTTTTCCCGCCCATTCCATGCAGTCAATACTCGGTATCATCAGCTCCTATAAATCAGCAAATTAGTTTTAATACTCCAACATTACTGCATTAAATAAAATAATAAAGATAAAGAAATAAAGATATGATATCCCATAAAATCAGCTATTTATATTTCAATTACATTATCTTTTATCAAAATAACTCCAACATAATAGGAATGCAATCATGAAGATAAATAAATTACGCAATTTTGAATTTTAAATTTCAATTTGGATTATATATATTTACCTTTTCATTAGACTTATAAATATAAATATTGATTCCTCGAATTAGTTTTCTTTAGTGGCGTGTTTAGAGCTATCAATCTATATTTCTTCTACATCTCTGCAAACTACCATCTGCATAGGTTAGTATAAAAAATTTGTTCGCTGATTTCTGTTTATTCAATCTATAATTTGTTTTTTATTCTATTTCTTTCTTCTTCTCCATCTGTTTCGATTCTGATTTACAATCCTCTGAATTTGTAGGTGGTAAACGAAAGTTATACTATTTATGTCCCTTTTTAAAAAATAATGTTTATGTCCCTAACTTTAAGCACATGCCTGTTCTTCATCAGTTAGTTTGTGTGTGTTTATAATAAGTTTTTAAAATTTTACATCTGTTACTGTAAGGGTATATTTATATGCAACCTATTTGTAGAATTTTCTACTACAAGGACCATTTTAAGCTATCTTTTTCGGCTTTACAATGCACATTGTACCGTAAGAAATTCTAATTGAATACAACACATGTTCTACTGCAACAATTTTTAACTGTAAATATTTTATATGAAAAAAAACTCTACCAATTTATATTTTATAATAAAACACACATTTTACCGTTTTTGTTTTGTTTCTTTTCGTGCTGTTCTTTTTCTGTCCCTGTTTAGGTTTGTTGCTTTTTTTTATGAAAATAAAATGAAAACTCTATTTTATAGCTTCTTATTTGTTGTTATTTGCTGAAAATTACAAAAAATATTCCACAATCTTTAATTGAAAAAAGAATTTATGACTTTCTCCAAGTTCCAAATACAACAATGTACTTTCAGGAATTGTACTTTTATCGTACGAATGCTAAATTGATTCCAGTTTCTTTTTAAGCAATATGTTCCACCATTTTTCATTCTTTTGTTCCATGATGACATCATTTTATGTTATTTTTTTTTCCAGTCTTATGTAAATTATAACATCTTACTTATCTTTTTTAAAACAATATTTATTATGTATAAATCGTTTTTTGAAAAAAAAGATGCAGCTTTATGTCAATAATAACATCTTGCCTTTGGATGAAATTTTTTTTTTTTTTTTTTTTGGATTTCATGGTTTTGATAATACTCTTTTGAAAGTATATTGTTATGAGTTTATTGTTGGTCAATCCCATTTTACCTTTGATGTATAAATACATATTCGTGCCCCTTTATTTAATTTGACCATTTTATTTGACAGTTTTGTTTATTTCGAATTCAACTTTACAAAAGTGATTATGGTATGTTTGTTAATAAGTTTTACAACTTTAAAATAAATCCATAATAACATTTTAATTAAATGTACACAGGACTTGTTCTGTAACTATTTTTTTGCCACATTTTCCAGCTTTGTAATTTTACCATTTTACCCTTCATGTAAAACTACACATATACATGTTATGTAACTAATAAGTACCTGGATGTGTATGTTGGCACTGACATCTAAACCACAACTGTATTTGTAGTGATATGTTAGAGGAAACTTTGCATGTATTTTCAAAAGCACCTTAATTGATCCTGATTCTTCAATTGAATTGTCACTTCATTAATTCATCATGTATAATATAGTAATCTATAATATTAAAAAAAAACAAATTATATCTACCTTAATTGATCCTGTTTCTTCAATTGAATTGCCAATACAGAAAGGTGGCTTATATTCCTAACTCATATGATAAATCATGACAAGAAATTCACCAACAGGAGGCACCTAAATTTAAAACAAAAACATGAGTTGGGTGTTTTATGAAAAAAAAAGATAAAATTTAGTAAATTACTTATAATTTTGAAACTGTCAAAGTTCTATCCGCATCAAAACTATCAAGATACACGGATTCATGGAAATTGCAATCATCCATTATAATTGCTCCTGGTCCACTAGAACCACCATAGTCTGTATCTAATAGGCAATAGTGTAGAATTTACCAGTTAACCACATATTTATAGATTATACCTAACCACACTAAATCACACCTTATATGCAGCAGAACCTTAGAATCAGTTTCCATAGCTATGTCCGTGATACAATGTAGCATTAATTTTGCAACAAAAGGAGCTATATATGGAATTTCAGAGATTAATAACACGACAGTGTAATCTGATTTTAACACTTACATTAAGAATTGAAGGTTCAGGCAATGGGTAGTGGGTCGATCATGGTCAAGAAGCTCAGTGGGGTGGTCAACGGTCTTAAACTCAACTACAACCTCGATTCCATGTTGAGTTGTAGCCGCCACTCCAACAACTGTGGAGGATTCTACTACTTCTGTATCTAGGCGTCAACATCCCCAAGAAAAAAAAATTAAGTCAACATAATCAGAATAACTCATTATTCTAGGAAATCATATTGTTTCACAACCTAATTACAGAATGAGGTTATGGGTGGATAAATGGATAGTGACCAAAATCGCCATGTTGTTTGCTTATTTTGGTTTAAATAAAAAACAAAGAGCTCCAAATCTGATCTGGGATTTTATTAACTCTCTCGGCCAAAGATTATAGAAGTCGTATTGGATTATGGGTGGATACATGGATAGTGACCAAAATGTTTGCTTAGCTTTGGATTTAACAAATATGTATAAAGATTTCATTATAAACGACATAATTGAACAGATGGTTAAAAACCAACAAAAAATTGAAATTAAAAAATTTAAATTCGTTTATTTTTTCCTCCTAAGATATTTAAAAGCTAATGTTCAAAAAAATCATTAACTTAATAAAATCAAAAACAACGATTACAAAATTTCAAAAGCCTAACCTTTTGCTAAGTCGTTTCCTCTGATACCTTGCTGTTGTGCTGATACTATAGAGTCTTTGCATTCTTCAGTCATGTTTTCCTCTACTACAACGATTGCATGTACTAATTACTTAGCCGATTATAAACCCTCAGTTCTGTGTAGATTGAACTCGATACTTAGGATACATTGCCCTCTACCCCCAATTTTTTGAGAAATTGTTTAAGATTCCCACACAGATAGACTAACATTCGTTGAAAATTGGTAACGAATGTGAATATTGATTTCCAATTTTATGATTCCTGGGATTTAATGTGCTTTGTGTGTGAGAGACGAAGTTTGTAATTTCGCGAACCGATAACAGGTCTTTCTCATTTTGGTAGAAATAAAACTTATTTTTATTCTCTTATCAATTACTTATCCCTCTTTTAAAAACATAACATATACAGTCCCTTTAAAAAATACATTTGCGTATATGGTTTCTGTTTCACAAAAAAAAATGATAAAACCAATTTTGTTCCAAGGTCAAAACTATCTTTTTCAATTTAACATACAAAAATAAAAATTAGACTTAACACCATATGAGTTATTGCTATAGTACCGACACATTTTTATAATTATTAAACTTTTTATTATCATTGCTCAATATTTACCTTATAATTTAATTAAAATTATTTTTTAACTTTTTCAAATTATCTTTTAAATTATTTATCCATGATATCCACGGATTATAAGTTTATATTATAAAAAGTTATAAGTCATGCTGAAAAATATTATACAAATAATGAGATTATGATTTAGCTAAAGCCCAAAAGTTCAAACCAATCAACGTGGCGACTTCCAACAAAACAATCCGATTGGGCCATAAGGCCTACATCTAATACAACACGACGTATTGATTATTAAATAACCAAAAATTACACTTAATGCTTGTGGCTAAATCCATTAAACATACAAGTTGGAATAGTTTGTTTTTTAAAATAAAATTACTAAATCCAACTCGTTAACTAGTTTTATAGATCTCATTAAAAAAATAAAACTGAAAGTAAAAACCCCCAAATTGATAATGTTACTAGTGAGGGTGAGTGGTGACATAGGCTCATGATATTATTACGTTATGAATATAAAATTGATTGTTCTTTTTTACTAATCAATACAACATAAGAAAAGTTATAATATTCTAATAATGGTTTGATATGTTTTGTAAAAGCAAGAAAGGTTAAAGAAGGCTGGGAGATATATTTGAAGCAAAGATGATCTTCTTGGAATCATTCTTTGCTTTTAACAAAAGAAAAGGAAGAATCTTTGGGAATTAATTTTTTGTTTTAAAGATATGGTATTTTGTTTTTGTATTATGGGAAAATATAACTATTATGTAGAAGCTTTAAAATTAGTTACATTATAAAGTACCATATCATAATACAAAACTGCTAGGTAACTCCTACTCAACGATATGCTCCATAACATGGCAAAGACAAAACCGCTAAGTTATGGAAGTAGCCGAGCATCAAAACTGCAAAATAATTTCGTGATTTGTTGCCATTTTACCAAAATTGTTTCTCTCCAAACATTAGACAAAAATGATCATGTTCATGTTCAATGAGAGTTATGGGAGCATGGTGGTAAAGGTGTCACATTCCACAATGAAGGTCCAATGTTCAAATCTTGTACACACCCAAAATAGTGCTAGTTCGCACTGACCTCGTATGTATTGGCCCTGAAACGGTGTCACGTAGGTAGCTCAAAAAGTGAATCTATTTTATTACCATTTTTTCTAGTTAACGTTATTTTAGAATATATCAACGAACTTTTATGTTTTCGATCAACAAGCACAAAGTATAAGATGCAATTAAAATAAAAACATACATATATTATATGATTTTTTAGAAAAATAGGGTTTGTAGTGGAGATCTGGATACCACTTCGATCGTGAGAACACTTTCTGAACTAATATTTCTACCATATGTCCGGGTTGCAAGAAATTCAATGTAGGATAACCAAGAGGACACTTACGATTCTAGGCACAGAAGTCGTAAGCCAAATTACTAGAAGGATTTTGTGTTTGTTTGATGAAAACGAGAGCTTAAGAATTATGTGTGTATCTTCTCAAAGAGAATAGTCGTTTATATAATAAACGAGATTAGGGTTTCTCTTAGGGTGAGCCGTCATGGGTTCCCCTTGGACCTCGCTAGGGGCGTTGCCCTAGTCCCCGCTAAAGGGGCGTCACGCCTTTGGAAACCCCGGACCCAAGGGCGTTGTCCCCGGACTCCCGACTTGTCGTCGAACCGACTTCTAATTCAATCTTATACATGTGTGCACTCCGCACAAACCCGTACATATATTAGAGTACAAATTATGGAACCTCTTAGCTTACAAGTTATTTCCAGTTATATAAAATGACATGATGACACTAAAATCACAAACATGATTCGCACAACTAAAATAACCATAAATTTTATTGTTAACACGATTAGAATAGCCATAATACCTATTAATTGCATATCTTGGTAAAATTATATTTAGATTTATATGTACTTATATAGATAGAGTGGAACAATTTTGGGCCTAAAATTGCATATGGGTCAAGCCCATTGCTTGGAGGTTATTTGACCATCTTTGTGTGAAATCCATTTTTGTCATTAACAATTCTTTTGGCATAAGAACGGTGTTTTGCAATTATCAATTGCGAAATAATTGGTCATTTTTATAATATAAAAAAATATTTGATATTTTTTGTGATTAATCCTGATAATATAGATCTTGATCGTAGTTAAAACTTTAAGTATTGGTAATACAGACGTCAAAAAATAGCCTTTTCTTTTTCTTTTTTTTTTCTTTTACTTTATATATAGAATTAACCGCCCATTGCAAAATCATGTAAAATTTGTTTTTATATGATCACCAAAAATTTACAAAAAATAAAATCAAAGAAAAAATTTCAATTTCGTATGAGGAAAAAATTAGGAATTGGCACGGCTAGATACAATGTCTTGTGAAATTTATAATTTCTTAGGCAACATGATATATTTACTTTTTATTGTGCGGTTTACCGATTAAGACAAGAAACCGCACCCAGAAACACCACGGTATACTTACTTTTCATTGTGCGGTTTACTAAAATTTATAATATGTGATTGGCCTGACCGTATTGGGCACAAAAAATAGGCAAGATATTGCTTCCCATGGGTTCGATATGACTTTATGACTTTAAACAAGATGGAAACGATGAACACATTGTGTACAACTAAGCAAAAACTACCAATAACATACTTGTGTATTTTTTTCCGGCAATCTGTGCAACAATAGTATTTCAGAGGGAGAAATAAGGGAGGTAAATACCATGTAGTATTTAACATAATGTTTTTTTAAGATATTGGATCTTGTATATATGTTACTGCAAAAATTCAACATGAAATCACCTCATAGGATGATAACAAAATTAACCAGAGAAAGGATGAAGTCTAACATGGAAGATGTTACTAATTTTAAAATAAAAAATTGAACATAACTACTATACAGATGTTAACGTTTATTTACAAGAAAACATTTGTATATGTAGGCAATGACAATACACATGTTTAGTTTGTGGTTATACGATTGTTAGTTGTAATTTCTTAGTTTAATTGCATTGTTACTCTTGGATTGACCAATGTTTCTCCACAAGAGGTATAATAATACGTATCATGAGAAGATTAATCCTTTACCACACCCTCTGAACCTAAAAAGGTAACAATTAAGACATACTCGTGAATCACCTAAACTGGCAAGCTCTTATCGACTGAATCATTAAAGTCGATGATCAAAGTAGTAAATGTAAGAGTAAGGGTAAGGCAAATTTACACCCCCAAACCAACAACGACTGTTATCCTAACATTTGATTTGGACGAAAGCATTCAATAATAGCATACTATGTTATAGTATCGTATTGACACACTTTTATAATGAGTTTTATTTTTCGTATTATTTTTTCGAAGTGTTTTAAAATTTTCAAGATGTTTCTTTCCTTAAAAAAAAATTCAAAATGGTTCGTCTTTTTCGAAATGATTCTTTTCTATAAAACTTTCGAAGTACTCCTTGCAAAGATTTTCTAGCTATTTTTTGTTAGATATTTGAACTACTTTTTTTATGAGATTTTATAACTACCCATGTAAATTTTTTAAACCGTACCTAAAATTTCCTAAGTAATTCCTCAATTTTTGTATTTCAAAAATAAAACAATTTTACCGAAAACCCATTTCAAAAAATCATGTAATACCTTATATATTGTATGGTTATTGGAATCGATAACTCTTAATACAGTTATAAACTTCAATATATTTATTTTATCGCCTTCAATAAAATAAAATATAAAAATAGTTAGAAATATTAATTTATGCGGGGTTCTTGGGCAGGGCAAATAATAGAGATTCGAGAACCGACCTTCAAAACTTGTAACATCTTAAGAATCAACATTGTCGAGAACCGACTCCGTGAAAGTTTTAGGTTCGAAAGTTTATGGCTAGTTTATACCTTTATATATTCTTTATTAATTATTAAGGAGAGGCATAAGTTTGAATGTTTGCTAATTTATCGATTTTTTTAAAAGAAAGAGTTTATTTATTTTAAATGTGTGCGATGATGTATTTGGGCATTACGAACCTATTTGATTAAATAGTCGGTATCTAGGTAACAAAATTTACTAAAGGTTTTTCTAATAATAATTTGTAAGTACGATCTCAACTTTCAAGTTTAAAGCTGTATAAGCATGCTTCATACAAGATATTATAATTTACAATTTGCATATTGATCGTATGACTGCTGCATGTTATTGGGGGCTTTTAACATATATCCATGCAAACAATTTAGAATGTTTAGACATGAACTTTATGTGAACAAGTAACAGACATGAGAAAAAATGGTTTGTAAATAGAAAATAAATAAATTATCTAAGATTAATCTAGCTAAAAAGCTAGACAAAAAAAACCAGTATAAAATAAACCCAATGCCGGTTTGTAGGACCAAAAGATTTTCTTCAGTATGGTTGTGTATGGACTTGGGGAAACCATATTAGGTGCGGTGCGTCAGTGGGTTACTCAAATGGATGTTCTCCATGATTT